GTGATTTTGCCCAGTGAGGGAAAAACTTTTTTTTTTCTTTCTTTTTTTTAGTACTGGGGTTTGAACCCAGGGACACTTAACCACTGRGCCACATCCTCAGCCCTATTTTTTATTTTATTTAGAGATAGGGCCTCACTGAGTTGCCAAAGCTGGCTTTAAACTTGTGATCATCCTACCTCAGCCTCCCAAGCCACTGGGATTACAGGCATGCGCCACTGTACCTGGCAGGAAAAGCTTTTTTAAGAGTTGGGAATGGGGCTGGGTGGGGTTGTGGCTCAGCAGTAGAGTGCTCGCCCAGCATGTGCAAGACCCTGGGTTCGATCTTCTGTACCACATAAAAATAAATAAAATCAAGGTATTGTGTCCAACTGCAACTTAAAAAAAAAAAAAAAAGCAGTTGGGACCATGTGGGTTTTAAATCTCCGTTCTGCCAATTACTCACTGTGTGACCTTGGAAAGGTCACCTAACATTTCTAGGCCTTAGTAAAATCTAGTTAATAATACCTGTTTTGTGGCACCAATTTAGGATAAAATAAAATCTTGTGACCTAGATGAACATCTGAGGTGTTATATAAATGCTAGTTGCTGCTGCTGCCGCTGTCCTTGTTTCAGTGCCTCTGGGTGTCACTACTGCCTCCCACTCATCAAGCCTCTTTGTCTCCTCTCCCCTAATACCAAATTTCAGGCAGTCACCAGACCCCTCTTGATTCCACTTCTAAAGTGATCTTATATTTGGCATCTGAGGTCTCAGCACCTCACCATGAACTGTGGCTGGAGTTACCAGCACAGCTGCCTCACTTGTTTATGGAGGGCCTCTGTTCTGAGTGGTCAGCGTATTGCTGTACGGTTGTATAAATAATGGTGATATCCAGGCCCAGTGGCGCATGCCTGTCATCCCAGCAGCTCGGGAGGCTGAGGCTGAAGGATCATGAGTTCAAAGCCAGCCTCGGCAACTTAATGAGACCCTAAGTGACTCGGTAAGACCCTGTCTCAAAATTAAAAAAAAATTAAAATAAATAAAAATAAGTAACAGTGATAGGCCAGGTGTGGTGGTGAAGGCCTATAACCTCAGCTACACCCCAGTCCAGAACATAGTCTTTTGACTCTGGTTCTTTCACTTGGCTTAGCCCATTCAAGGTCCATGGTGTTGCTTTGAGTGGCTTGTTCCTTGTTGCTGTTGAGTAACTTCCATGTATATATGTAGAAATYTGCTCATTCATCAGCTGAAAGGCAGGTAGTTGCTAGTTTTGGGTAGTTATGAATAAAACTTCTATAAATGTTCATGGTCACATAGCTGGGGGAAAGAGGATAGTGAAAGAGATCAAATGATCTCATTTCCAGATTCTTATTTAAATATGGAGAAATTGAGGTCTTCGGAGKGAACTTGCCTAAGGTTCCATGCAGAATTATAGAATTAGAGGCAGAGCAGGACTTAGAATGCAGGAGGTTTGTTCTTCCATGTCATGTCTCACCTCTCTGGGTTATCACTAACTCAGGAGACAAAACCTACATCCGGATTTTTTGTTGTTGTTTGGGTTTTATTTTTGTTTTTGTTTTTTTGGTACCAGAGATTGAACCCAGGGGCACTTAGCAATTGAGCCACATCCCCAGCTCTCTTTTTATTTTGTATTTTGAGATAGGGTCTCACTAAGTTGGTTAGGGCCTTGCTGAGTTGCTGAAGCTGGTTTTGAACTCGTGATCCTCCTGCCTCAGCCTCCTGAGCCACTGGGATTACAGGCATGTGTCTCTGCCCCCAGCTGACCTACACCTGGATTGTAACATGGGGATCCAGTGATCTGGAGCCTAAGATGAGAATGTTCAGCAAGTGCCCAGACCTCCCAGAGTTCACTGGCTTTCCTTTTGTACTTCCAGGTCTGACACATGGCGCCTGGTGAACCCACCAGCACGGCCTCATCTGGAAAACTCTCTCAGGGGCCCCTCTGCAGCCCATAGTGGGCAGAAAGTGACAGCCATGGCAACCAGGATCACAGCCCGTGTGGAAGGGGGCTACCACAGCAACCGCAGCATCTTCTGCACCATCCTGTAAGGACAGACATCTGCCTCAGGCTCAGGCCCTTACAGGCACTCAGAAGAGCTGGGGCAAAGGTCCTGGGCTGGAAGCAGTGCCTGAGAACACTCCACCCTTCCCTCCTCTTTCCCATCGTTCCCTGGAAAACCACAACCCAATCCTTCTGGGGACTAAGAACAAGGTACCTCCAGACCCCTTCAGCTCCACAGGCCTCAGCAGGAAGGAACTTGAAAATGCTTTTCAAGAAGGAACAGAAACGGAGGGTTTCCAGTCACCCCAGCACTTGTGGAGATTATGCAGAGTTGGGGAGACTCATACAGTTCATGAAGCTTTCGAGTCAGGATTCCTCTGAGTTATAGGGAAACTTGTTTTACACACACCAAATCCAGACTCTTCTCAGGGAAGAGATTTAATTCTGAGGGAGGGAAGTGATTCTGGCRGGAAGGAGACAGCTGCTCCAGAATTGCCCCCTTTCCTGGACTTGCCATGCCCCTGGTCTCCCCCACAGCCTCCCAGCTGCCTCTTGAGGCTTCCTTATGAACAGTTCTCTTTGACTTGGACGTGGCCCTATAGGGAGTAAGGGGCTTGGGATGGGAAGTCCCTCATGGAAGGCTGCCCTGGGGATGACAAAAGGACATACTACAAACAGGAGCCTGCGGCAGGTGCTAGTTAGGCTGGGCAGTGCAGGGATGCAGGAAGCTCCACTGTCCTCAAAGAGCTCCCAAGCTCAGGAGGATGTTAGTCCAGTGCCTGCTGCAGGGTTCAGACCTCATGTGAGTGCACCCCCACCGCTGCCCTCCAGGCCCCAGCCTGTCCAGATCAGGGTACTGGGCCCCGGATATGTCCAYCTTCTCATGGGTGATCACCTGCCTTTACCAGCCTTGCCGTGTTCCCCACTCTGTGCCTTGGCTCCAGCGTTCCTCTTCCCAGCATGCCCTTCTCTGCCCTACCCATTCCTCAAGGTTTAGCTTAGACACTGCCATCTCCACATTCTCTCCCCTCACTCAGATGACAGTGTTGTTCTGTCTGAGCCCCATTTGTCCCTCTGCTGTTCCCTCAGGGCACTGAGCACTTTTTGCCTTGTTTTAGAAATATCTGGGTCCACACCCTGTCCCACCCACTTGCCTGTGAACTCTAAAGGTTAAGCCACATCTGTATCCCAGGTCCCAGCCCAGAGCTAGGGTGGGGGTAGTGGCCTGAGTGAGGAGAGGAAGGCCAGCTCCCAAAGGGCTTTATTGGACTGTCCTGTGAATGTATCAGGGTTCCAAAGCCAGTGGGGCTGGGTCCCCACAGTTTGAGGGGGCTGTCCAGATGCAGGGCCAGCTCAACCTCAACTATCCCCTTCCACTCAGCCTCTCAAGCGGGGCCTTCACCAGCCTATTGGGGTCACTGTCCAGCACTTTCCCAGGCTGATTCTGTCAGGCCCCAGGTGCTGCTCTGGTGGGGTGGGTTGGGAAGGAAGTAGAGGGAGCCAGGAGAACTGGCTTCTCCGTGAAGACTTCAGACACAAAAGCGCTGGTCCCTCCCATCCCCAGCACTGTCCTTTGCACTTCTGTTTGGTGGCCCCAATGTGAGTCGCTGTACAAAATGCTGCCTTTGTTATTTTGTAAGAAATGACTTTTCTGTGAACCAAGAACTTGTGAAAATCTCAGTAACCAAATAAAGTTCTATATTTTAAAAGAGGCATATTAGAGGACGCTTTCTTTGGTTTGGACACTTGCTGGAGTTTCCAGAGGTCAGATAAAGGCCCWGCAGGGCCCTGACCTTCCCAGAGGTGCCAGTACTTCCTCCACAGGAGATAATCTGGGGACCCACTTATCAGGGCAGCTTGTTGGAAGGACTGCCTTTCAGAGTCGCAGTGTCCTGTGTCACCATCAGGTTATTAATCCAGTCCAGCCTGTCCCCTAAGACTTTGTGAAGATAAGTTAYAGGCCGTCCATGTAGATCACTTGATGGTCAGCAAAGAGTCCTCAGATGCACAAATACTTCTTCCCAAATTCAGTTACTCAGTCTCTTAAAATTTTTGCTATACCTGGGTGCCATCACACACACTTGTAATCCCAGCAGCTTGGGAGGCTGAGGCAAGAATTCCAATCTTGAGTTCAAGGTCAGCCTCAGCAATTTAGCAAGCCTCTAAGCAACTCAGTGAGACCTGCCTCTAAATAAAATATAATAAAGGGCTGGAGACAGGGCTCAGTGGTTAACTATCCTGGGTTAAATCCCCTGGACAAAAAAAAAATTTTTTTTACCATATCTATCCATTGAAGAAAATCTAGGACTTATTTTTTGTGGGGTTTTTGTTTGTTTCTTYTTTCTGAATAATCTTCCCTGAAAATGGTTTGGTTTAGCTCTTAGCAGCCTACTCCCGAGCTCTTAGGACACTTGTTTTCTTTTGGGCTACATATTTCTTCAGGACAAGATACATTTTGGAATGGTTTCGTGTCTTTTGAGCTTTTTTTCTTGAGTTGCTTCCCAAAGAAGGGCTTCTCACAGAGGAGCATGAGCTTTCTTGTTATCTCCTTATGACTGGAGTTACGGTGTCCTTCAGTTAATGAGAACTGTTTTTTTGTAAACACCTTCATCATATTACCCCTACATCATCCCTAATGTGCTTCCCACATACTCCTACATTAAACTGCTTACCTTCGGGGTCATTTGGGATTAAGGGACAGACAAGCCTCTTCCAACGGCTCCTTCAGGGACCCAATAGATCTGACAAGGCCAAACTCCAAGAAGCAGATAAAGGTGCCAGGTGGTCTGTGAGTGTTTTACCCTCCACCTGGTTTACCCCTGCACTCCACTGTGGCCTTAGCCAGACAGAAAAACTGGGGTTATCACTTCTTTTTTTTTTTTTTTTTAGTTATAGGTGGACACAATGTCTTTATTTTACTTTATGTGGTGCTGAGGATTGAACCCAGTGCCTCACACATGCTAGGTGAGTGCTGTACCTCTGAGCCACAACCCCAGCCCTGGGTTATCACTTCTTGATTAGGCTCCACCTAATCAGCCTGTCTGGCAACCCAACCACACTAGCAACTCACAGTTCTCTCTGGATAAAGCTGGAAGCCTCTACTTCAGTCACCGCTGTGCTGGATCCCCCTCTTCACCTCCTCCTCTGGCCCTTCCAGATTCTTTTATCAACCTCCATCCATTAGATTTGGTTCAGGGTTTAGCCTGATAAAATCTTTTGATTCCAACTTTCTAGATGCCACCCTTCAAATCCCCACAAAGGTGAACCAACATGAGAAACACACCATCACAGCAACACCAGAGGGAATTTGAGTCCAATCTAGCCACCACTTTATATTTCTGCTTAAGCCAGGCATGACCAGGATGCTGGCTTCATCCCAAGCCAAAACAAGGCTTCTTTTTTCCTCTTCCTAAAAATAAAACTGGAAGTGAACAGAAGCAGTGGCTATGATGTGGCCAAAAATGCTGTCTAGAAGGCACACATCTAGGTAATCCTCCTCCGTTTTGACTGGTAGTCCGAGACCTGGGGCAGTGGGATGGACAGAGTGCCCAGCTTGTGATCCTCTTCCTGGTCAGCTGCCAGAGACACCTTTCTTTTAGAGATCTTCAACCTCATAGCTTTTGCTATCTCAATCATCCTAAGGAAGAAACAAGCAGAAAAATGGAGAGAGAGCTCTTAATGTGGTTGTTCAGGACAGTTTGGCAGGAGTAGCACATTCATGCTCCAGGCCATAAAGACAGAATCCCAAAAGTGGCCAACCCCCAAGCAGGTAGACAAGATGCCCCACCCCCCAAAGTTATCAGAAAATCTCATTTTAATGTGTTATCATCAGAAAACAGTCATACAGGTGATGGAAAACTAGGTCTCTAGATCCCTATTAATAACTGTCTTTACCACCTATAACCAAAGTACAAAAGCAACCAGGTCTGAGCACTTGCTAGAACTGACAGATTCCTAGTTCTACTCCTAGTTTTATTTCTTTACCTCACTGCATGTACCAATGCTATTTTTGGAAAGCCCTCAGAATACCTTCCATGGTCTGCTGGACAAGTGTAGTCAGAGGTGTCATCACAGGCTTAGAATACCATCTGGAGCCTTGATGTCTGTCAAATGCCCCTCGAACACCAAAAAAGGATCCTGGAAAGCTCTGCCCTCTATTGTTGGAATCTACTCTAGCAAGGCTAGAAGGAGCCTGAAAGGTCATCCCTACTCCCATCTAGTCAGAGAAGCTTAAATATAGTGTCCGTGCCAACCAGTGGCTTCACCTTCCCTTGAAGACCTTCCATCAACTCTGAGAAAACTCTGCTTGCTAAGATGAAGGTGAGTTCTCTGAAACTTCCAGCCCTGGATGTACCACTCAGAACCATAAGAATTCCTCCTCCCAGTAACAGGAATTCAGAGAATGGAGGCTGCCTGGTAATCCAGAAACAGGACGCTATGGCAAGACTCAGGTGTGAAGAAGCCCAGTMGACTCCCCTCTTGGCTATGAGAACCCGAGGAAGTCACTGCTCTGGACTGCAGATTCTTCAATTGTTTTTTTAGGGAAATTAATGAGACAGCATGAAGGAATTTAAAACTCTGCCAACACAGGCACTCAAAATGTCTAGGTGAAAACCATCCAAGTTCTTCCCATATGAAATACCCCCAGGTTCCTTGATGTTGCCCCTTGATGTTGGTGTAGAGACATACCAAGGTATCCTAGAAGGAGCTTTTTATTCAAAATGCTGTGCTCACCTTTTTTCACTGAGTTTCAAGTCTCTCTGTAACAGTGTCAGGTCAATCTGGAAGTCATTTATGTGCAAAGCAAGTATGATCACATATGCAGTGATCTTCGCCTTCATAGAATTTGAAATGAAGTTCCGTAAACTGCAAAATCAGTGGCAGGAAAGGAGAAACAAAATTAAATTCCAAAAGCAAAATAAGAACATCTGAGCCCGATTCCTTAGCATTCAATGCCTTCCCAACCTGGGGAAAGGAGGAACTGGATCAATCTTTCTTCTTTCTTCCAAAGTGCCAGAGCTTCACAGCAAGCAGAGAATCAACCCCAGAGCATCCTCCTGAGCAGGAGAGAGAAAGCTGCGCCTGCACCCAGGGGGTGCTAGCGTCTCATACTGGTGAGGACCCTCCAAGTCTGTCCCTGCCTGCTCAGAAGGGCTGCTAGGATAATAATCACCCCAAACTCAGTTGCTGTTGCTTCTTCCAAGCCCACTCAGGAGCAGGAAACACTACACAAACGGCTGAAGGAAAGCCCAGGGATGCTGCATGGGCTTCCTTCCCCAGAGTCCTCAGGGTGGCTTGCCCTTTTCTACAGCACTAGTTCTGTGGGACATCAGGAAGGGCTCCTTGAAGGAAGTGTGTAAAGTAAGTCTCTATTGCAGGGCATCCCACAGCCATTTTTTTTTTCTTTTTGGAGTACCGGGGATTAAACCCAGGGGCACTTAACTAATAAACCATATCCCCCACCCCTTTTATTTTGTTTTGAGACAAGGTCTTGCTAGGTTGCTGAGGCTGGCTTTAAACTTGTGACTCTCCTACTTCAGTCTCCCAAGCTGGGATTATAGGTGCAACACCTTGCCCAGCTCTGCAGCCTTGTGTGTGTGTGTGTGTGTGTGTGTGTGTGTGTGTGTGTGTGTGTGTAGTGTGTGTAGACTGGGGATTTAACTCAGGGGCACTTGACCACTGAGCCACATCCCCAGCCCTATTTTGTATTTTATTTAGAGACAGTGTCTCACTGAGTTGCTAAGCACCTTGCTGTTGCTGAGGCCGGTTTTGAACTTATGATCCTCCTGCCTCAGCCTCCCAAACCTCTGGAATTAAAGGCATTCACCACCACACCTGGCTAATATCTATAAAAGATATTCACAGTGGCACATGCTTGTAATCCCAGCTACTCAAGCAGAAGGATCACAGCCTTGACAATTCAGTGAGATCCTATCTTAAAACAAAAAGGGCTGCAGATGTAGCTCAGTAGTAGAGTACCTGCCTAGTTTGTGCTAGGCCCTTCAATCCCCAGCACTACACGGGGGAAAAAGAGAGAAAATATTCATGAAAAATAAAGTGAACTTTTCCACAGGGGAGATACACACACACACGAAAAAGAGAGAAAATATTCATGAAAAATAAAGTGAACTTTTCCACAGGGGAGATACACACACACACACACGTCCTCAACTTAATTGATACCAGAAACCCACCAAATGGCAGCAATCTCTTAGCACTGCATCTTTATGAACTTGGCTTGAACCCAAGCCCCTACTCCTCCCTCACATACCCCACCTGCTTTCTCCTTCACAGGCAAAAATCCCCAAAATCAACTTTCCTGACCTGCCATTGTTGTAAGTCAAGCAGGTAAAGTGCTTCAGCAGTTTGGTATTGATGATGTGGGGAATTCCAGGTCCTAGGGCATCTATAACACAAAGTAGTATTTAATCATTTTCATGAAAAAAAAACAGGCCTCATTTGTGGGCTGGGAGAAGAGGTGAACAGCCGGGCCACTATGACGACAGAAAGAACCATATGTTAAGAAAAGCAGGAGCCCAAGATTCAGAACAGTCACTTTAAAATAAAATATGAGCCAGGCACAGTGGTGTACACCCAGCAATGCAGAAGGCTGAAACAGGAGGATGATAAGTTTGAGGTCAGTCTCAGCAGCTTAGTGAGACTCTGTATCAAAATAAAATAAAAAGGGCTGAGGATATAGCTCAGGGTAGAGTACCCTTGTTTCAATCCACAATACAAAAAAAAAAAAAAAAAAAAAGGGATGGAATGAAATGGACAATACAATGAAAATATGCTCAGATATGCTTTAGCCTGCAGATCAGATACACACAAGAGATGTGTATGATGGGGTCACGACCAGACAGATCAATCACTCCAATGAGGCCTCACAATGCAGAATAAAAAAGGTTAGGGGCTAGGGTTGTGGCTCAGTGGTAGAGTGCTYACCTAGCACGTATGAGGCCCTGTTCGATCCTCAGCACCACATAAAAATAAATTGATAAAAAAATAGGTATCGTGTCCAACTACAACAATAGAAATAAAATATTAAAAAAAATTTAAAATAAAGGTTAAATTGTTAAAAACAGCAATAAAGGAAACTGAATAGATTTTGGAGAAATCCCAGGGAGAGAGGGAAGAAGAGAGATTTGAATGTGCAAATAAGAACTAAACAGGGGCTGTGGCTCAGTGGCAAAGCACTTGCCTAGTTTGTGTGAAGCACTGGATTCAATCCTTAGCACCACATAAAAATAAACAAATAAAATAAAGACATTCTATCCATCTACAACTACAAACAATAAAAAATAAATTAAAAAATAAAAGAACTAAATAGGGCTGGGGTTGTGGTTCAGTGGTAAAGTGCTTGCCTAGTATATGTGAGGCCCTGGGTTTGATTCTAAGTACCCATTGACAACTAAAAAAAAAAAAAAAAAAAAGAACTAAATAAATACTGAAAACATTAATACAAAACCTTGGGTACTCAATCTCAGTAACAATGACTGACTACAACTGTGCGGAAAACCACCAACGTCTCCATCAGCATTTCCAACATTGCCACATATGGTCCGGGCTACAGGTGACAGTGGGATTACCGTTAGAAAACTCTCTCCTTTCCTCCTTCAAATAAATAAACATAATACAAACCTAACAAGCAAAGCCAAACTTTTCTCTCCCTTCTGTTCTAATAGTCTCTTAACATGTGCATTCACTTTGACCTGGATACTGCACTTTGCATAATGCAGAATAGTAGTGAATGTTAGCTCTGGAAGGCCCCCAAGCCATCATGCAATCTCCAGGTAAGGAGGTCCAGAGAGAAGAGTGAGACTGGCAAGTCCTCCAGAGTGCCAACAACACAAGGAATGATACTGTTGCAGTTAAAAATTAAGACGTGGACAGATGTATGTATCTTCTTCCCTTTTAGAACTGATCTGAGATCTACAGACAAATAATGGACTAGAAATAACTAAAATAAAATGTCTATCATGGACTTACTTTTCCGCTTTATCACTTTCTGGGCTCTAAATTTGATGAGGGTGTCTAKAAACCATATACATCGGGCCTGGTGATCTCGGTTCTCTTCATTTGATGGCAAAGACTTCAATGCTTCTATAACAGTGGAGCAGTGGCTAAAATAGGGAGAAAAAGGGACAAATGTGTCAGAGTAAGACAGACTCTGTCAGGAACCACCCCTTACTATGAGAACTGAGGCACCTCTCCCCGCCATACACACTGAAGGCATCTGAAGGCCCACCATATTCAAAATCCTCATAGCAGGAGGTTTGTRGTTATGGGAGTAGAGGGGTGGAAAACGGGGACACTGTAAAGGGCCAGTAAATATTTTAGGCTTTGTGGGCCATACGGTCTCTGTTGCATTCACTCAACTCCATATCATGGTGCAAAAGCATCCAGAAATAATACTTACAAGAGTAAATAGGGCTGTGTTGCAATAAAACATTAACTTATACTTTTACTTATTCATAGGCAGCAGGTCAGACATGGCGTATGGGCCAGTTTATTGACCTCCGTATTAGTAGTTAGGAGCATAGGTTCTAGAGTCAGGTTGACTGGGTTTGAGTCCCCCCTCTGAAATCTGCTCAGGCAAGTTCCTTTATATCTCTGTGTCCTGGCTTCATCTATAAATGGAAGCCACTGATAGCATCTGTCTCCCTAAGGACTCTTTCTGTATTAAAAGACACTGCAGCCAGATATGGTGGCACACGCCTATAATCCCAGCAGCTCGGGAGGCTGAGGCAGGAAGATTGTGAGTTCAAAGCCAGCTTCAGCAATGGCGAGGAGCTAAGCAACTCAGTGAGACTCTATCTCTAAATAAAATACTGGGTATGTGGCTCAGTGATCAAGTGTCCCTGAATTCAATCCCCAGTACCCCCCCACCCCCCCAAAAAGACACTGCAACCTGGATGTAGTGGCACATGCCTGTAATCCCAGCAACTGGGAGGCTAAGGCAGGAAGATCACAAGTTAAAAGCCAGTCTCTGCAACTTAGTGAGACCTTGTCTCAAAATAAAAATAAAAAGGACTGGGGATGTAGCCCCTGGGATCAATTCCAAGTACCAAAAAAAAAAAAAAAAAAAAAAAGACACCGTTAGCTAGGCATACTGCAACTCAAGTGGTTAATGCAAGAGAATCACAAGTTCAAGGTCAGCCTGGGCAATTTAGTGAGACCCTGTCTCAAAATAAAAAATAATAAGGGCTAGGACATAACTTAGTGGTAAAGTGCTCCTAGATTCAATCTTTAGTACCACAAAAACAAAATAAAACACTGCAAATAAAGTACCTAGAAATCTAGAAGAGTGTCTGGCACAAAGCTAGAGCCCGATCCCTGTTAATTGTTATTTTTATGTACTGTTCTACTACCATCAGGATCCTGGACTTGGAGATAAAAAAGCTCTTCAAGTTCACCATGTAGCAGCATCATTTTACAGACAAGAAAACTGAGGCTCAGACAGTAAGAGCACACAGTTAGACAGGACAGTGCTCAGGGTCTCAGTTTTCAGACTCTCAGCCCCGTGTTTATTCCTGTGCCTATCCCAAATCATGATCACATTAAGACAACTAAGAAGCAGTAAAGAGCTCTTTCCAGAAATGTACCTTTATAGCCAAAAAAGAAAGGCATTTTCCAAGGCTTTGGATATCACTGACCAGTAAATTTTCAAGACAAAAATTGGGAGACCCAATGTAGGATTGAAAACATTTTAGCAATTTATTTGCTCAAAATAACATTATCAAAAGAAAAAACTCAGAAGCAAAATAATGTCACCATCATCATTTAAAAACAAAAAAGTTATTTTAATGGTAAAAGGGGAGAGGAGGAAATAATCTCTGAATTATTTAAAGTACACAAACTGAACTTTAGAAAAGCTTGCCCAGCATACTGTCATAGAGAAGCCATCCCTTCAGCCAGCACCCATTCCCAGACAGGCATTTGGGTGCTGCCAATGATAATCAGCATCAGCATAACACTGGGGGACAAGAACTAGCTCTGGTCCCAGCCCTAGACTACAGTTCGCCACCCTCTGCCCAGCTACAGGTGCCAACGCCCTCCCTTGAATCCACCTACAGCTCCGAGAGGCCCAGGGTCTAGAAAACAGGTTTATTCATGTTCGAGGGCTAGCAGATACCTTCTCACTGACTGGCACCCTAAGGTCTTGCTTCACATCTGACTCCCTATTTCCCAATATCACTGCCCATCTGCCCAAGTGAAAGTACCTGTTCTCTTCAATTATCTTCAGTATTTCTTTTGATGTGATCTTACTGAAAGCTTCAGATGGGCTCTTAAGAGCTTCATACTCTGCAGAAGAAAGAACTAGGTGCAGGTCAAGAACACAATCTGACCAAAATGGAAACATTCAACCAGAAAAATTACCTCATAGAGGCTTCATTTCACAGATGGGAAAGCTAAGGCTCACAGAGGGGAAGAAGCTCATACAGGAGAGCAGGGCAACTTCAGACCCTGTTGTCAGGCTCCAGCCCAGCGCTCATTTCCTGCTTGGRCTTCTTTGCCTTCTCTCCCCTATCACAGAGCCAGGGCCAGCATTCCCATCTAACTAGACCCATCAAGTAGTAAAATTCTATACTCCAACCCTTCTTTTCACAAAACTGGTCTGCCCTAGACTTCAGACATTGGCCAACTCAAAAAGTCATATTTTGATTATTCGTGGAAGAGTGACCCCTGTGGGTTGAGGAGTAGCCTTTGGCATGTTGCTTAGGAATGGGTTTGAGTCCCAGGGGTGGCTCCCTCAGCTGGTGAGGAATTCTACCTGACCTCCTGGTGACAGCACTGGTACAAGGGCAAAGGTCTGTTGCTTCTGTGAAGGTCATAGGACCAAGGACCTTCAGACAGCCTGGCTGTGCCAATGCATACAAATATTACAACTTATAAAATAAGGCAGCTTTTCTACCACAAGAAGGATACTGTCCTCAAATTTATACACATCTTCAGGTTTGGCTGCATCAGCATAGCAAGGAGGAAGGTAGAGGGAGTCGTCTTGCGAGTCATCCTGGATGGCATCACTGACCAGAGCTTTAAAGTAAAGGTAAAATTAGTGTTAGTATCACCCTGTTCAGCTTCTGGTCCCCAACACTCTTTGCAATCTGTGAAGCTGAGACCACAAATGGTCCAGAAATCCGAAATCTAAATGCTTTTGCCAATATGTCCTGCCATCAGGCCAACTGCTGCAGGACTCCCAGGCACAGGAGAGGGGAATACAGCAGTTTCCCTCCAGTAACCTGAGTTGGCAGACAGGCCTGCTAGTGAACATTTATAACACAACATGAGAGAAACTCAAAGTGAGAGACAAAGCTGGAAATGCAGCATGGTGGTAGAGCACTTACCTGATACATATAAAGTCCTGGGTTTGATCCCCAGCACCCCAAAAATAAAAAAAATTAAAAAGTGAGAGGTATTCAAAATGGCCTTTAATAGCTTAACTTCCAAAAAATCTCACTACACATTTTGAGTGAAAATGAAAAATCAGAATATACATATCAACAGAAATAGAGATGGAAACAAAGAAGTTTTATTAGTCTGACAGACCAATGTTGGGAATGTGGTTTAATTATTTTTCTTTTTAAATGCCTTTTAACACCTGAAAGTAAATTTAACAAAATTATGTCTTTTTTTTCGTACCAGGGATTGAACCTGGGGTGCTTAATTACCAAGCCACATACCAGCCCTTTTTATTTTTTATTTTGAGACAGGGTCTCGCTAAGTTGCTTAGAGCCTCAATAAACTGCTAAAGCTGGCCTCAAACTTTTAATCCTCTAGCTTCAGCCTCAAGAGTCTCTGGATTATAGATGTACACCAGCACCCAGCTAACTTATGTCTTCAAATAAATGCTGAAACCTATGTCTTAGAAAGGAAAACACAACACTGTAAAGATGTTGATTCTCTTCTTATTAATCCCAATTGGATTTCTGAAAATAATTCTTAAGATTATCTGGGAAAGAAGAAGAAACAGAGTGATATAAAAGGGTTTATAGGTTCAAGAGTTGCATATACGGGGTATATGCAGAGGCGGTAGGATGTGTTTTTAAGAGAGGAAGAACAAAAAACAATAATAAAAAAATAGGAGTAAAGAATTAAAGAAAGAGCAAGAGACAGCAGTAGAGCCTAGCTGTTGGCAAGAAAAAAAAGAGAGAAACAGAAACAGAAGAAAACAGTTGTGAAWGGGTCAACAGAAAGTCAATGCAATGTATATTAATCAAAGACCTAACCTTCCAAATAAAAAAAAGAGAGAGCATGAAAAGAAAGTTACCTAAGGAAATGCTAAAAGCTAAAAAATACAACAAAAAACAATATGTATGTGTACAAATGCACAAATGTCCGTTATTTGTCAATCAATACACATTCAAAAATCAAAACCTAACAAAAACAAAACAGCAAAATAGTCAATGAGAGTTTTTTGCCCGCTTTCTGTGCCAAACTGCCTTTCTGTTTCTCAGCTTCCCTTCTCAGCAGGATGGCGTGAGCAGCTATGGAAGATGCTGGCAGCTTGACTTTAGGCTCTGTTCGATGAGATGCTGCAAGTGAAGCTCCTAGGGGCAGGGATTTGCTGTTATTACCCCAGGCATTTTTTATGAGGGGAATTTTCCGGGGTTAATGAATCAATGAATACATGACCAGCCACATCAAGTATAGCCACTAGAATCCTAATTTGAATAAGTTATACTCTACATATGTATAATTTGCTAAAATACATTCTACTGTCATGTATAACTAAAAGGAACAACAACAACAAMAAGGGATATAGAATGGATGAAGCAAGGAATGTGAAACATTCTGGCTTCCTTGAGGAAATAATCATTGTAAAGTTATGTAAAAGATTTTTAAAAATTAATGAATGAATGAATCACCTGGATGAAAAAGCATACTATGACAGCAAATACATTAAAAAAAAAAATGAAGAAGGACAAATTTGCCTTATGAGACGAAATCTAATGAGAAGGCTACTAAGATTTAAAGAAAAAGCCTTATGCTGGTACAGGAATAAACCATGGGAAGAAAAAACAGAACACAACTAAGTATCTAACATACAATAAAATGGTAAGAATGTCCTTTTTAAATTACCCAAGGATGGAGTTGGGGGACAAATGGCTAACCACTTGAGAAATATAAAATAAAAATCTGTATCATATGCCAAAAATAACAAAGAAATTGTAAAAGTATTAAAAAGGAAGATATTATGTAAGTCACCAAATCTGGAAAGATTTTCTTAAAATTTCTAGAATTCCATTCTTACTAAACTTTCTCTAATGTTCTTCTCAGCCTTTTTTTTTTTTAAAGAGAGAGAGAGAGAGAGAGAGAATTTTTTAATATTTATTTTTTAGTTCTCGGCGGACACAACATCTTTGTTGGTATGTGGTGCTGAGGATCGAACCCGGGCCACACGCATGCCAGGCGAGCGGCTACCGCTTGAGCCACATCCCCAGCCCCTTCTCAGCCTTTTTAACCAAAGCTCCTTAGACTCACAAAGGAAGCCTTCTCCTTTCTCTGTGCCCTGCAGGCTATTCTTTGCACTAAAGATGGACTTGGGTATTCCATTCCCATGCCTGCCTCCTCCACTTGACTGTTAAGCCACCCAGGGCAGCAACACATCAGATGTTTCTTGCTGCTCTCAGAACCTGTCCCTCAGCAAGCAGCAGTAAAGAACGCAGCCTTAACTCCTACTATCACCATCTGTAAGGCAGTTAGAAGATCTCAAGAGAAAGCTGTCTTTTTGGGCAAATTCTTAACCCAAGTTCCAGTTGCTTACCTTCCACACCCTTTTTATCAATGATATTCTCTGCAGCTTTAGATACTGCAAGATTCAATGATTCACTGCCAACTTTGTTCATTCTCCTGGAGTTCAGAGCTCGTTTCTGTTTGGTGGTACCAAAGGCTTCAATACAAGAATCCATCTGTGCAGGAAACAAACCTGGTTACTGGGGACAGGGCAGATGGGCACTGCTACATCTATCTGTGGGACAACAAAGGAACTCTAAGCTCCTGAGCCATCATCACCTCACCTGTAAGTCAAGCTATCATTCCTATCAAAACTACCTCCCTCATGGGTCTATTGCATACATTAAGTGATATTGCCAGACTGAAAACATCTTACTTTATAAGATATAAAGGCTATTTACAAATTAACAGTTTTTCCATCAGTAAAATAAAATGACTTGACTAGAATTATGGTTGGTAAATCTGTGGCACACAGCTTACCATCGTCCCATTCTATATCTACAATAGACATTGCTAACAGACCTCTCACTCTTTCCCCTGAGCCACAGTAGCCACACACCTCCACTTCAATATAATTCTTCAGGCAGCACTGAAGATCCAATCAATTTGCTATCCTGAGGTGAAATGACTTTTACAGGAACTTTCTATATTGAAAAATGCTGTCTAGGTTTTTTAAAATATTTTTTTAGTTGTAGATAAACATACAGTATCTTTTTTTTTTTTAAATATTTATTTTTTTTTATTTTTTTCGGCGGACACAACATCTTTGTTTGTATGTGGTGCTGAGGGTCGAACCCGGGCCGCATGCATGCCAGCGCGCTACCGCTTGAGCCACATCCCCAGCCCAGTATCTTTATTTTTATGTGGTGCTGGATCGAACCCACTGCCTCACACATGCGAGGCAGGCGCTCTACCACTGAGCTATAGCCCCAGGCCCCTGTCTAGTTTTTTTTTAATACGAAGGTTTCCAGGTACAATCATTATTTTCTGAAACTTGAACTAATCTAAAAACAAGTATTTTAGGGTGTGGGGATACCAGAGCATAGGTTCCAAACACTGGCTCAGAGCTGCATTCAGCTGCCCCAGATAGGAGCAGGCCTCTATAAGTAGGAACTCTCCTGAGAACCACAGACTTCATGAGCTTGGAGTAGCCTGGGAGAACAGAGTTCAATAAACTCATTGTACTGATGGAGAAACACATGCCTACAAGGAACTTGGTTAAGCCCCCACATCTTAATTTTTTTTTTTTTTTTTTTTAACCAGTAAGAACAGCTTTTATTGGTTGCAATGGTGAATGGAAGAGAGGGTAGACGACAGCTCACGCTCCTGCGGTGGTATTCGCAGATTGGGTAGTTGCTCTCCGAAAGCCACATCTTAATTTTTTATGGGCAAATTCTTAAYCCAAGTTCCAGTTCACACTCACCTTATCTCTGAAAGTTTTGGTCTGGCTCTCYAGAGTGAGTTGACTCTCGGCCGACTCATCTGTGGAAACACAAAACACAAGAGAGGGAGTCTTGCTATGTTACCCAGGGTGGTCTTGAACTGGGCTCAAGTAATCCTCCTGCCTCAGCCTCCCAGGTAGCAAGGACTACAGGCACATGCTGCCAGGTCAAGCTCTGTAAGGCCTGCAGATATTAAGTGTTCAGTATTTATTTGTTTAACAATTAATCTAAGAAAAACAGATTTCTTGGGCTGAAGATGTAGCTAGTGGTAGAGCACTTGCCTGGTGTGCACAAGACCCAAAGCCCAGAGTTCAATCACCAGCACTGCAAAAAGAAGAAAAAAAAACAGATTTCCTTCCTTATTACAGGACTTTCCTAAGCCTTAAGTGAATGTATTCTGTGAATATTYAGCTTAAGTACACAGTTAAGAGAACTGGAGATTAGGGAGTCAAATGAAGGACTCATCTGATCCAAACTCTTCATTTTATAAATAAGGAAAAATGAGTCTCCAAATGAAATGACTTGACCATATTAGTTCACCATGCAGGCAGAAATAAGTTAGAAACCAAGTCTTCAACTCCTTCCATAGTTATAGTTTTCTCTCCTGGTGAAAGAGCTAACAGCAGGCATAAACATGGAGGTATATATTTCTTATATGATGTTCTCTAACCTTCCACAAAGAACTCAAATAAGGGGAAGTCTAATCTGGTAGACAAGAGCACAAGCCCTGGAGTGACCTTGCCTGAGCTACACCAGCAATGCACTCTACCCAGTCATGCTAACTCTGTGCCACACTCATCACTGGTTTAAAAAAAAAAAAAAAAGCGGGGGTGGTGGTGGTGGTAAACAGGCCAGGTGCAGTGGTGCACATCTGTAATCCCAGTGGCTGAGAAGGCTGAGGCAGAAGGATTGAGGGTTCAAAGCCAGGGGCAGCAATGGTGAGGCACTAAACCACCCAATGAGACCCTGTCTCTAAATAAAATACAAGGGCTGGGGATGTGGCTTAGTGATAGAGTGCCCTTGAGTTCAATCCCCGGTACCACATGAAAAGGAATAACAGAACCTATGAAGTGACAGTGTACTGAAGGTGTTCAGAACAGTGACAAGCATATAGGAAGGAACTAGTAGTCAGGTTGTATGTGAATGTGTGTTTGTGTATGTGTGCTAGCCAGTACAAACCAGTAYTAATAAACATTTTACATTCAAAAACAAAAATGTGTTTAATCAACAAATTAATAAACAATTTTCTGTGCCTCCTGGAATTTAGAAGAACATTTGAAGAGTGATTTAAATGTAGTTATTTACAAAGCAAAGAATTCTTAATTTTGAGCCTCAAAATCCATAGGAAATTTACAGATGGGTGTCAAGACACAAGAGTCTTTTTAAGGGGCTGGGGATGTGGCTCAAGCGGTAGCACGCTCGCCTGGCATGCATGCGGCCCGGGTTCGATCCTCAGCACCACATACAAACAAAGATGCTGTGTCCGCCAAAAACTAAAAAATAAATATTAAAAATTCTCTTAAAAAAAAAAAGAGTCTTTTTAATGTAAAATCTCAGATCTATATATTTGAGGGRGGTTCTGGGGATTAAACCCAAAGGCACTGAGCCTCATCCCAGTCTTTTTTAAAATTTGAGATAGGATCTTGCTAAGTTTACCAGCATCACTAAGAATTCAAGTTTTGAGATTTAGGGAACAACAGCCTCTTGAATCTGACACTACTATTTATCATTTTAGACCATCTCACTCTAGCCGTGAGCATTCTAAGAATACCAGACAGAAAAGAAATGCAGCTTCTTCTAATGGATTAAGGGGGGAAAAAAACTTCCCCAAATTAAGACAATACAGACACTTTTCATCAAATGAAAACTCATCCAGCAACACAAACTATGCAGCATTATCGTGAATTTTCATGCCAGGGACTTACCTGAAAACAGTGGCTGCATGTTGAACAATTCAGCATCATATACTTCCATCTGACCAGAGGTCTTATTCAAAATTCCCACAAAGTGCCTGAATAAAGAAAAATAATGCTATAATGCTTTACTAAAAAGGTACAACTTCCTTCTTTCTGTTTAAAAGCTCTCAACCTTTTTTCTGTCCCAACACACCTAAGAAATGCAACAACTTGCTCATGAGTAACAAAAATCTACTTCAGCAATAATTCTCTGCATGAAGAGGAAAAAGGAGGGTGTGGGAAAGGAAGAAAGGGGACATGAGGTAGCTCTGGGGAAAAAAACCACATCTGGACTCATTGGTGTAATGGGAAATCCTTTTGAAGTGTAAGAATCTACAATTACACTAGAACTTACTGTGCACATAATTTTTATGGTGGAAAATGAAGTAAAAGCTTGTTAATTATGGGGAGAAGAACAATCTGAAACAGAGCATCTCTTTAAGTGAATGATGCAGTATTAAGTTTTAAGGATGAATAAATTCATCTATTTTTTATCAGGCCATGGTCCAGTGGGAGCTCTGACRGGGCCTTGTTTGTGGTTCACTATTGGTAACAATCATAGGGACCATGACTGTATCATGCCAGCCCCAGACATTTCAGGGTGGGCAATCTTCATTGTACAGAGAAGATGAGGGATCAGTGAAGTACAGAGCTGCTCAGTGACTGAGCTGCATAGAAACCTGGGCCCAGCGGGTGCAGTGGCACATGCCTGTAATCCCAGCAGCTCAGGAGGTTGAGGCAGGAGGATTTCAAGTTCAMAACTAGCCTTAGCAATGGTGAGGCACTAGGCAACTCAATGAGACCCTATCTCTAAATAAAATACAAAATAGGGCTGGGGATGTGGCTCAGTGTCAAGTGATCCTGTCTTCAATGCCCCTTACCAAAAAAAAAAAAAAAAAGAAAGAAAGAAAGAAAAGAAACGAGGGCTGGGGATGTGGCTCAAGCGGTAGCACGCTCGCCTGGCATGCGTGCGGCCCGGGTTCGATCCTCAGCACCACATACTTTCCGAGAACTAAGGAAAAAATAAATAAATGTTAAAATTCTCTCTCTCTCTGTCCCCCTCTCTCTCTCACTTTCTCTTTAAAAAAAAAAAAAAAAGAAAGAAAAAGAAAAGAAACGAAACCTATGCCCTGGGCTTATGATTCCCAGTCCTGATTCTTCAATACAACCAAATCCTTTTCTTATACTTGGTCCCAAGGCAAACCTCAGGCAAGCTTTAACCTATAGAACATACATTCCAAATTTGTGGAGAGTGCTTTTAGAATAAGACCATTACAAGTAAGTAGTTATAACAAATAAGTGGAGTCTTTGGGAAATTCAACAAATACAAGTCATCTTTTCCTTTCTAGGAATGTCCTCAGGATTACAAGGACCCCTGGGGTCTATAAACGTAGGGACTTGGTACATCTGCCTAGATTTCCCCAATGCCCCTAAAATAAATATGGAGAAGAGTACCACCACCACCCCCATCACCTTTCCTGCTGCACCTCTCCCCACCATTACCTGCACAGAGTGTTGCATTTAAGGGCTCCAGTCCCAAAATTGTTTCCAACATAGGAAAGTCTGTCTGTTTCAGCTGCCTAAAATACATAGACAGAGGAACTCTATTTACAACCAATGTTGAAAGGTATTAAGTATGGTCTCTTTTCTACATTTGGAGAAGTTTTAGAATGAAAGACCACAGTGGGTTAGCATTAGGAGATGATTCAGTCCCACTATCTCTATTGGAATCTGGGCTATCCCTGAAGAAAAGGCAAGAGGGCCTTAGTGCTGGTTTCTAACTGGTTTGAAGAGTTCTTGGGGGACTTGAAGCACAGGACTTGACAGAGAGGTCCTGAACTCCCAACACTTACAGGTGTGTGAAAAAGTGATTCTGTAGGCAATTTCCAAACCATTCTCTTTTTTTWAATAATGTTATTATATTTTTTATGCCTTTGTTTATATTTATGTGGTGCTGAGGATCGAACCCAGTGCAAGCAAGCACTCTACCACTAAGCTACAGTCCCAGCCGGGTCCAAACCATTCTTGAATCTTCTTTACCCACCTCTTCCATGACTGCTCTTCATATACCCTCAGGACTAGTGCAAATGGCCAATTCATTTCCTGGTCACAGCCAAGCTTTCCTGCTTCCCTGTACTTGTCCCTACTACCCTCTTCATTTGGAAAACCATACCTTGAGTGTTAAACCTTCCCCCATCTTTCAGGACTCAACTCCAGTGCACTCTCCCAGGAAGGCATTCTTGTAAGCAGATCTCTCTTCCTACTGAGTTCACTATGTCCTGCACTCTCCCCACCTCAGATCTTGAACTTTGTCTACTGTATGAGTATCCCTCATGGACAGTTCTCAACCCAGTGCTACCAGCATCTGGTGGGTGGAGGTCAGAGATGCTACTGAATGTCCTGCAATGTGCACAACTGCCACCCATTACAAAGAATCATCAGGATCAAAAAACAAATGAATGAAAAACTTCAAATATCATAAACCAAGATAGTGCCCATTCCCATACCCCAGGCTGCTAGGGCTCAGAGGAATTCTTCAAAGGTCCATTTGCTCCTCTCCTTATTCTCCCTTCCTACCCTCCCACATCTGTCCATATCAAAAAGGACTCCTGAAGACCACAGAGTGAAGGCATCTGCAACTGCAGCACTTACTAGAATTCGCTGTTTCCGCTTCCTGGGATTTGTGGAGTCGTTGCTGTTGTACAGGGTAAAGCGTATGTTGCCTGGATTCTGCAGCTTCCCGTTGGAGAACTGGACTGTAAGAATGCAATCCAACAATGAGATAGGAGCAAAAGGACCCACAGTGTAGTGGGGAAGAACTGGAGTATCACTGAGAGTGACAGAATGGGGAGGRCAAGGAAGATCAGGTCCTGACCTAAAAGGGGACTGAAAAAAGTCCTGGTCCAGCTGGGAAGAGGGGATGGTGGGGGTGGGACTCTCAAAGGCGAGGCTGGGACTGGAAGGCATGATTAAGGCAATGAGGCTGAGGGAAGAGGCCTGGTCCAGACCTAAAGAGAGGGAGAAAGAGAMAGATGGGGCAGGAGAGAGACTTAGTGAGGGGATGACAGGGTCCCGATACCGTCCTGAGAAAAGAAAGGTRTCTGGTACGTCCTCGTGCAGGTGGCAGGTAGTGACAGAAGAAAAATGGGATGACCGGGGAGCCCTGTCTTAACGCCGGGTCGAAGAGGGGTCCTGGCTCAGCTGGGGAGGGAGCAGAACGCAGGGCGGGAGGACTTTACCCAGTACAGCTCTCTGACTCTCGTCCGGCTCCCCACAGTACAGCCACCTCGCACTCGGCAACATCTCTGCCGCCATCTCTGCCGCCATCGCGCCTGTCYTACAGTCAGGTCCCAGAGAGGAAAAAGAAGCACAAACACTTTGGTTAACACGCGGGAGCCTCAGTGCAGCGCGACGGAAGAGGCGTGGCCTCCACAGGCCCCAACCTGAGTACGTGAGCAGCGTGGCTCCGCCCCCAGGCGCTGGGCACGTCATCCCCACCCACTCGTGATCCCTCCCCCTCCGCCCACGCCGTGCCACACCCCCTCCTTGGTGGGTCTCTGAGGCRCGGCACGTGATTTGCCCTGCCCTCGGCCTTCACGGTTCGGATTTGATGGGACTAGAGCCCCAATTGCCGAAAAGCCCTGTAGCTTCATCCTGACTGGGTCTGGGACTTCCTCTGTTTAGGGTGGACCGTGGGAAGAGGCCCAGCAAGCTCAGAGCAWTTAGGCAGAGGTTTCTAGGGTAGGTTAGAACCCGGGTGTGAGGGGCGGTGTTGAGGGACCGAGTGGGGGGGTGCCGTGTCTAACTGATGGACATGTCTGTTTGTCCTTGCGGATTTTTTCCGTATGGGAATTAATCAGAGTAGGAGAGGGTAAAAGCAGTGCCTTTAAGCATGGACTCTAAGGGCCCTGAAGTTCAGGGTTGACTCCTCACTGTTCTCCAAAATACTGCCTCTGGAGACCTCACCCCACCTCCTCACCCGGGATCTTCTGAATAACCTTGACACCTGCATACTCCTTTGCTGAGCACTTGTTACATTTTCATTTTCTGAAATCAACTAGTGTAGGGCTCACAGATAACTCAATCATAGGCTTATAAAAACATTGCAAAGCCGAGCGAGATGGTACACGATGCCATCCAATAATCCCAGCTACTCCAGAGATTGAGGCAAGAGGATCACAACTTCGAGGCAAACCTCCACAACTTAGACTTATCTCAAAATAAAAAGTGAAGAGARCWAAGGATGTAGCTCAGAGGTAGGATACCACTGGGTTCAGTSYCCAGTATCTGCTTCCCCTAAAAAAGAAAAGAAACATTGCAATTACAGTGCAAGGAACTATTCTGAACCATTTAGAGTAAATTGTCAACCTACTATCCCATTCACCCCTGAAGASTATAGTTATTTCCTATGGACAAGGACGGCTATAGTTTGAAATCTGGAATGTCCCCCAAACGCCCGTGTGTTAAGGCTTGTACTCCAAAACCATGATGCCATTGGAAGATGGTGGGCCCAATGGGAAGTCTTTACTGTATTGAAAGGCTGTTCTCAAAGGAAATAGTAAAATCCCCCACCCCTTACTCTCTTTCTATTCCTGGCTATGAACTAWGTGGCTTTGCTGCCATGATGTGCTGCTTCCCCAGACCCCAAAGCAACTGGGTCATGAACTGAAACTTCTCAACCCGTGAACCAAATAAGCCTTTCCTTTTTACAAGTTGATTATTTCAGGTATTTTGATACAGCAGTAAAAAGTTAACACAAGAATCTTCCCTAGGTTACAAGACAACCAACAGAGCCAGAAAATTAACATCAAAACATTATTATCATATAATCCCCACACACCATTCCTTTACCAAATGTCCTAGTAGAAGAAGACCTTGTCAAGAAGAACATGTTGCATTTAGCTGTCAGCTCTTTCTTTGATTGGAAGGCTACCTTGCTCTACTCCATCTAATAGTTTTTGAATTATATAGTTCAAGAAGGGAAAAGGAACTTAATTGTCTAAATATTTTTCTGCCTCCCCATTTATCTTTTCTTCAATTTATTTTCAGTTAACAATAAACGATTTTTAAACAATAAATAGACATTTGTTTTTCTTGATGTATCACCCACTCCTGGAAGAGTGTTTACGGAAACTGTATATGCTCAGTAAATGTGTAATGAAATGAATGACAAGGCAAGGAATAGATTTGAATCCTGGGATCCTAAAGCAGGGACTAGAACTCAAAAGATGTCTATAGTCTTAGTTGAAATCAACTAATGTAGGGCTCACAGATATCAGATACTCTGTAGATGTCTGAATGAAAATTAACAGTTAAATAGGACACGGTGGCCCTAAGTTACAACAATACAGCCAAGAGAATCATAAAATTAACATCAATACCTTATCATCATATAATCTTCAAGTTACAAGTGCACACCTRTAATCCCAGCAGCTARRGAGGCTGGGGAAGGAGGATCTCSAGAGTTCAAAGCCAGCCTCAGCAACAGTGAGRCACTAAGCAACTCAGTGAGATCCTGTCTCTAAATAAAATACAAAATAGGGCTGGGGATGTGAGTTCAATCCCYGGTACCCCCAGGGGAAAAAAAAAAGAAATGAAAATTAACAGTTAAGGAGTAACAAAAAAGACAACAATGGGCATAAGGAACCAAATGTAATTCTTGAGATAGGTGCCTTGACTACTCATGACATATAAATACAAGGTCTTGCTACTCAGTGTGGCCCATGGAAATAGAGACATCATCATCTGGGATTTTGTTAGATGTGTAGAATCTCCATCTTGATCAAATCTGAATCAGAATTAGCCAATGATTTGTGTATACTTGAAGTTTGGGAAACTCGTTGTTYCAGATCAACTCCTTTGACAGACATATTCTGTGAAAGACTTCAGGATGGATTGCTTTAGAGTTGGGGGGACAAGTAAAGAGTACCATACAACTGTTGATGGTAAAAACCTCCCAGAATTACCACAGGCAAGAATTCAAAGTGATAGAGATTCTATCTGGGGAAGTGTTAATAATTGGGTAGCTGGCAAGGGGATTGTAGTATACCCCTATGTTGTTTAATTATTTTAACCATGGTTCATAACATAGGTGCACACACCATGTACATACACATACACACATATATAACTGGGATAGGGCAGGATGGAGGGAGCCTTACTCAGGCAGTGACAAAAAGATGAAAATCCACAATGGCCTCTTCTGGATTAAAATCATAAATAATCACAGGTAGAATTTACATAAAATGTTGCCAGACCTGGTGGTAAATGCCTGATATTCCACCTACCTGGGAGGCTGAAGCAGGAGGATTGTGAGTTGAAAGCCAGCTTCAGCAACTTAGTAAAACCCTGCTTCAAAACAAAATATAAAAAGGGCTAGAGATGTGGCTCAGTGGTTAAGCACCCCTGAATTCCATCCCCAGTACCAAAATAATAATAACAATTATTTTTATTATTTACATTAAATGTTCATCAATTTATTTTAGAAATTCAGAGACATCTGGAATTCTTTCTTAGCATCTTTCAGAGAAGGAAAACTTGATTTTTTAGGTGGAGGGAGAAGCAAAGTTCTCCATTCTCAGAGAAATATCTCCATCTGCTGGTACTTCAGGATATGGCTAATGAAGACTTGAAAAGGCAAGGCAGATTCTACTTGCAGTGACTCACACTGTATTCTGAAAAGTGCTACTTCCATCTCTCCTCTTCTTTTCCTTTCTTGCATTTCTGCCTCTTTTTCTTCCTTTATTTTCCTCTGTCTGTCCCCCTCTTATGTTCTTTCCTCTAATATTCTCTTTCTCTACCTTCATATGAATGATGAAGACTGGGTGTGTACTTACAAGCAATTTGCTCTTTATAAGGCAGGACAGGATTTTTTTTTTTTTCTTACGTGGAACTGAATCTGCCTTCTGTAGCTTTTTCCTTTAGTTCCAGTTCTGCTGTCCAGGGTCATGCAGAATACATCCAGCTTCTCTATCCTGACCTCTTCAAAACCTGAATATTCTTATGCTTTTCATTTACCTGCTCCTCTCCTGCCTCAGCAATTGCTTCCATACTTTCAGGTGTTCCTCACAACTAAAATCTGTAGTTTCCTCTTCTGATATCCTGGTCACCTCTTCTGGACATGCTCCAGTATATCTGGATCCTCTTCAGTCTGTGGGGCCCCAGATGGGTCAATAAATACTCTAGCTCTGACTGGGAAACACAGAACAGAGATGACCCATCACTTCTCTTGTTCTACTCCATGCTTCTCCATTATGTGCATTTATTGTGAGCATCTATAATTCTCAGTTAACTTGTTTGGGGCTACAACAAGTAAACATTCCTAACTTTGCTTCTGCTAAGTCACATCTCCCTTGCAATTTTTTTTAACAGAAACAAAGATTATGACTCACTGAAGACTCAGACAATCTTTAGCATTTTCAGCATTAAATTTTTTTTGAGGGGTTGTTTGTTTTTTTAGCATTAGGGGCACTTAACTAGTGAGCCATATCCCTAGCCACTTTTTATATTTTATTTAGAGACACCGTCTGAGTTGAAAAAAAAAAAGTCTTTTTGTTCCTTTTTTCTTCATCCTTAAGGGTTAATTGAAATTTTTAGTATTATATTTTATTTCCACTATTGATTTAATTCACTGGTTGCCTTGTGGCAAATATGTCTTAGTTTACTGGGGCTGCTAAAATAAAACACTATAAAGTGTGTGGCTTAAACATTTGTTTTCACAGTTCTGGAGTCTGGGAAGTCCAAGATCAAGGAAGATTTGGTTCATGGTGAATGTCTCTGTTGAGGGCCACAGCGGAGTGGGGATGACACATGGCATTCTGCCAGAAGGGAGTGGTTGAGAGGTGATGCCAGGGAGCCATTGAGATGATGATGGTTATGTTAAGCTGTGTATTCATTTGTATATGGAACCCCTGCTGTCCTGCAATAGGGTGGCTGGGGGTGGAGGGAGGGGGAATAGGGTGGTTCCTGCTGCCTCGGGTGCCTGCTACTTTGGAGTTCCCGTTGAGTTCTCGGGTTCCWGGTCCGAGGGGGGTTGCCCGGAGCCCGGGGGAGAGCTCAGAGAGTTCCCAGAGGGTTCCCGGGAGTGTGCGTGGAGTGCTGGTGGAGTTCGGACAATAAAGTTTCCTGTTTGAACATACAAGTGCTTTGTGGCGGCTGGGTGATTTGTGCCCAGCCAGACTGCAGCAGGTCTCCTTCCTGCCTTGGAGATGACTGTCTTATTACAGCCTCACATGGGAAAAAGAAATCTGGTCTCTTATTTTTCCCTCTGTGGTACTGGGGATTTAACCCAGGGACACTCTACTACTGAGCTACATACCAGGCCCATTTTCACTTTTATTTTGAAACAGGGTCTCACTAATTTGCCCAGCCTGACCTCAAACTTGAAGTCCTCTTTCCTCAATCTCCCAAGATGCTGGGATCAGAGGCATATGTCACTA